CAAACTCCTCTGTAGCTTCATAATCATACTCATCCTCCACAATCATGTTATGGAGGATGATGCAAGTCATCATAATGCTCCGCAGCACCTCCTCATCTAACATCCGAGCAGCGCCCCTAATAATAGCCCAACGAGCTTGCAAGATACCGAAACATCTTTCCATGTCTTTCCTGTAACCTTCTTCAAAGGCAGCAAAGCTTTTTTCCTTCTAGGATTGAGGATTTGGAATTGTTTTCACGAATGTCATCCACCTAGGATAAATTCCGTCGGCAAGGTAGTACGCACCAGAGTATACAGTGTTGTTGATTTCGTATGTGATATAAGGGCTGTTTTCACGAATGTCGTCCACCTAGAATAAATTCTGTCGACAAGGTAGTACGCACCAGAGTATACAGTGTTGTTGATTTCGTACGTGATCTGGGGGGAATGACCTCGCAATACATCGTTGAATACCGGGGATTGACCAAGCACATTGAGGTCATTCTGAGATCCGGCAACTCCGAAGAATGCATGCCAAACCCAAGTGTCGAATGAAGCTACGACCTCCAGAATTATACTTTTTTGGCCCTTTCGATTCCCATAGTCTCCTTGCCAAGAAGTTGGGCAATTCTTCCACTGCCAGTGCATGCAATCGATACTTCCAATCATTCCTGGGAAACCTCGAGTATCAGCTTTTTTTAGGAGCCTTTGTAGGTCCGCAGGAGAAGGTCTGCGAAGGTACTCCCTCGTGTAGAGATTTTCTACTGCATCACAAAATCTCACCAAGCATTCTAGGATAGTTGATTTTCCCATCCTTGCAATCTCATCCACCTGCTCTGCAGATGCCCCATAAGCAAGCATCCGCAAAGCAGCTGTAAGTTTTTGCTCTGGGAGAAGACCCAAAACTCCACAAGCATCATACTTTTGAATGAAGTATGTGTCGTAATTACAAATATCATGCATGATTTTTTGGAATAAATGTGGCTGCATTCTATATCTCTCTCAAAACTTAGAAACAGGATATAAGGAATTTGGGATAAAGTAATCTTCCATGAGATTCTTACCACGAGACTGCCTACGTCTATCCACATTCTGGGCACGACGACGGTGGTGTTGCCTTGATTCATTAAGCATAGGAAAGGCTACAAGCATTTCCTCCTCTTCTTCATCGGCCTCCCGATCTTCCTCAGCACGTCTCCTCTGGATTTCCTCCTCTTCTCTCTCTTGCCTCTCCAACACCCTCCTCAAGTTTGACATTGAGAGTAAAATATGTTTTGTAAAATCTGAGAATTGAAGGAATAGATAAGATGTGGTGTGAGATGTATGAGTTGATGGTGTAGTTTTATAGAGGGATTGAGAAGATAGAGATGACACATGGCGCAATTTTAGAGGGTGAAAATCTTATCTGAAATCTGAGATTATAATTTTTTTTTAAAATCTGAAAATCTTATCTGACATGGGACACGTGGCATAATTTTATAGGTTGAAAATCTCATCTGAAATAAGAGATTATAAATTTAAAAAAAAATATCTTAAAATCTTATTTGACATGGACACGTGGCAACTAAATATCTTATCCGAAAGTTTTATCCGAAAATGTTATCTGAAATTTGAGGTGATAATTTTATAATAGATAGTGACACGTGGCAACCGAAAATATTATCTGAAAAGCTTATCAAAATTAATGATAAGTATAAAAAAAAATAGAAAATAAAGTACAATGAATAGTATTTGCCCTTGCCCTAGCCTTCCAAGGGTGGAACCAACTAAGGCAAGGCTGGCACTATTCATGTGAATAGTAGCAGCCCTTGCCTTGCCTTAGCCTTGCCTTAGCCTACATGGGTGGAGATGCTCTTAATTTCCAAAATCATTCTCGTGGTCCTTTAACTTTAGTTTCATTAAAACAAATGGTTCCACCGTCAGTTCTGTCAATTTTTTCATTAAATTTACAGGTAAATGAGTCTTTACAGGTTAGTTTTATTTCCCCCCATTGTGAAACTCGCCTTCCCTCTAAAGCTCAAGGGCTAGAGGAGATTTTTTATGATGGGGCAAGTTCTGATGCTTTCTATTAGAGCAAGTCCAGCAGCTTGTTTTGGACTCAGGTTGGGGGGGTTTTTGGGAGAAAAACGAACTCCAGCAGCTGAGGCGAGCCCGAGTTGCATGTGGGGGCCATGAAGACGGGCTGGCCCAAGGGCAGGTCCAGCCCCAGATCCAAAATGCGAGCGGGCTGACATCAGTGCGTAGAGTTCAAAATTTTTTACCGTTGGCTTGTGCATTGCACGCGCTAGCGGTAAAAATATTTGAACGACGTCATCAGTGACGTCAGCCCTGCACTACGCCAACGGCTCTAGGCCACGTGTCGTCGTCTGGGCGCTCTGATCGTGAATTTCTCTCCAATCCAATGACAGCCAATATTTTTGCAATAAAAATATGAAAAAAATTTCGAAAAAAATTCTACAAAATACCAAAAAATACTGGAATTTTTTTTTCTATAAATACTTACCAATACTCTTCACTTTCAACACCAAATCCTCATACATTTTCTTCTACTTCTACTATTATTCACTTTTTACTCAACATTTTGTTCACTTTCAAGTTTTATTTTTCTTTATCATCTTTATGGCTTCTTCTATCGACGGTGTTAGGGCATGGAGCATCATGGAAGATGTTTTGTTATGTGAGTGTTGGGTCCAAATTTCTCATTGTCCCGTCACGGGCAATGAGATTAAATTTCTCATTGTCCCTTAATTCTTTCAAATGTAGTCGATGCTACCAACCATTTCTGGAAATCCTCGAGCTTCGGCTTTTGTAGAAGCCATTGGAGGTCCCTGGGCGTAGTTATGCGCGAGTAGTCCTTAGTGTACAAAGTTTTCGACTGCATCACAAAATCTCACCAAGCTCTCCAAAGTAGTGGACTTCCCCATCCGGGCAATCTCATCCACCTGATCAGCAGATGACCCATACGCCAACATTCGTATAACAACTGTGAACTTTAGCTCGGGAAGCAGTCCCAAATTTCCAGCAGCATTTCTCTTTTGAACAAAATATTCATCATAATTGCAAATATCATGCATGACTTTATTGAACACATGGGGTTGCATTATATATCTCCTTCGAAAATCAACATCAGAGTATAGAGAAGTTGGGATAAAATAATCTTCCAGAAGATTCTTACCCTGAGAATGTCTATGTCTGTCCACATTCGGGCCACGACCTTCTCGTGAACCATGGCGGCTCTGGTTTTCTTCATCAAGCATACCCACTGCTGTGACAATTTGCATATCCAGTTCTGTCTGCGCCCTTTTGCCTGCAGCTCATCTACACCTTCTTTCTCTAAATTCTCGCATTTGCCTCTCCAAGACCTCGTTCATGTCTACCATTGAGAATGGAGTATGAATTCTAAAATTTGAGAAATGAAAATAAAGAGAAGATATGGTGTGAGAAGTATGAGCTGAGGCTTTGGTTTTAGAGAAAAATTTTGGCCGATAAAGATGACACGTGGCGCAATTTTAGACGGTGAAAATCTTATCTGAAATTTGAAATTTATATGAAATTTGAAATTCAGATGAAATTTCATTGAAATTTGAAATTGACCTAAAATTTGAATTTTGAAATTTATCTGAAATTTGAAACCAAAAATCTTATCCGAAAATTTTATCCGATTATGAGATATGAATAGTATTGACATGTAAGAACCCAAAAATCTTATCCGAAAATATTGTCCAAATTAATTATTTAGGTAAACAAATTTGTGAAAAAAAAACAAAAAAATGAATAGTGTTTACCCTTTGCCATGGCAACTGCTGGAAACCAACATTGTTTTTTGCAAGGGCAGCCACTATTCACGTGAATAGTGGCTGCCCTAGTCCCTCCCCCTTGCCATGGCAAGGGGCAACTGCTGGAACTGCTCTTATGATAGGAACACCTCAGATGATGAGAATAATAGTCACCATGTGACAAAAAAGCTAAGGATTCGCCTACCAAAGTTCAAGTAATATAGGAGAGCTACTGACCTTAAAAGTACAAAGTTTCATTTGGGGATAGAGTTTGCAAATTAGGATCACTCGAGGTCAATGAATCAAGAAAAAAAATAAACAAAGTTTTCAAATTCCATTAGCCACTTGCATAACTAATAACATTACAAGATTGTATAACTAATTTGTAGAATTACATTAGCTCCAAAGTTTTCACTGCCCTTACTCCCATACATTTTCTAGACATGTTCGACACCATCATCATCATCAACATCACAATGACCATAAATAAGCACAAACGCACACACTCATCCCTACATTCTCTTTGTCGATGCATCATCATATTGTCTTCCAACAGAAGTCTTGGCTGGAGGCTGCAACTGATTTCATAGAAAAGGCGAGTTTCACAATGGGGGAAAATAAAACCAACCTGAAAAAACCCATTTAGCCCTAAATTTGACGAAAAAATTGACAGAACTGATAGTGGGACCATTTGTCCTAACAAAACTAAAGTTAAAGGACCACGGGAATGATTTTGGAAATTGAAGGATCAAAATGTGAACCTGATCAAAATTCAGGGACCATTCAACCTAAAAACCTTTTTTTCTTCTCTCTCTCTCTCTCTCTCTCTCTCTCTCTCTCTCTCTCTCTTTTCTTTCTCTTCTTCTTGGCTAAATTGTAGCAATAGTCCCTCAAATAAGACCTGACTTTACTTTTCGTCCCTCATGTCGCAAAATTGTTATGGCCATCCTTCAATCAGATCTCGTGTTACATTATTAGTCTTTTCGTCAATTGAGTTAAATTTTCTATCAAAATTAAGGGCAAATTGAGAAATCCCATATTAAATATTTATTAGATAAATAAACTCACTAAAAAAATAAACCCAATCTCCCCATTTGAGCATGTGGGGAAGGAAGAGGGTTTGGTGATTGGGGAAGTTGATTTTTGGAGAGGATAAGGAGCTCTTGAGCCACCCAAAGTTGAGCTACACCTCATTGGTTGGAGGCAAAGAAAACCCTGTTGATGCATTTTACAATGTTAAGATAAAATCCATCATGGTTTGGAGGGGAAGTGGTTGACATACCAAAGGAGACTTGAAATTTGTCACCAAAAGGTGACTTTGAGCCATCTGGGATGGTTTGGGTTGCTGGGTTGGTGAGGTAAATGGATGGGCAAATTTGGGGTTAGGGGGGGGGAGGGGGGGGAAAGGATGGCGTGCGGTTGGGTTTAGGTAGAAGAATGTGGTGGCTAAGTAAAAGTCTTAGTTACCCCTAAAATATCTATCATGTGCTTGACATGTGATCAATTTTGATGAAAAAAATAAACATAATTGACGGAAAGGACTAGTGGAGCAACGCGAGATCTAATTGAAGGACGACCATAACAATTTTGCAACATGAGGGACGAAAAGTAAAGTAAAGTAAAGTCTTAGTCGAGGGACCATTGCTACAATTTTGCCTTTCTTCTTTTTTTCTTCTTCTTTCTCTCATTTATGTTCCTTCTCTCTTCTTCTTCTTTCTCTTTCTCTCACTAGTGCTTTCTTAATCTTCTACTTTTCTACTTTTCTATATTTTTTAAGTTTTTCTATTTCTCTATTTTTTTTGTTTTTTTGTTTCTCTTTGTTTCTTCATCTTTAGTTTTGCTCTCTATATTTCTCTTTTTTTCCTAATCACTTGCACAGTCAGTTTCACTCCATTGCAGTTGCACCACCTCCATCGCACTACGATTTCACTCTCTCTATTTCAGTCACACTATTTTTTGTAGATATGTGATAGGATCCGACCCAAATTCCACTTTGGAATTCGTGTCGAACCTCATGCGTGTCCAACACTCGGCAGGTGTCGGGCACGAATGACCAAAATACCTTTCTTGCCTTAATCCAAAAACTGTTTTAGGGTTTGACTTCTACCGGAAAACCGGCAAAGTCTCCCCTTAAAAAGGCTCAAAACCTAGAGATCTACCTGCACAGCAAACTCAAATAATTTCCTA